GCTTGTCAATCAGGCACTCCTTGTTATCTCGACAAGTGTAGCTGAGATCTTTGCGCACGGTCCTCTTGAAGAAACCTTTACATCCCTCACAGCTGTATACTCCATAGTGCTTTCCTGAGGAGAATAAAGCCACAGGATCAATATTGATTAGGACCGCTATTCAGCTTGCATCACAGTGCATAAAGCGTCGCACCGGCTTGTAGACTAATTTCTGGGCACATCTTTAGAATTAGGATGGGAAATGTGTTAACTATTTTCTGTATGATAGACAACCTACTTGTAACAACATACCGATAAAAGATATTTGCAGAAACATACGGCACAAATCCTGACAAAATACTTAACAAACGACTTCAAACAAGTCCGTCTTTGTCTGCTATCTGCTCTCATCTGGGTGGGGGGAGTTGTGGTGGTGAGTGGGAGTGTAAATATGCTTGCCCATCCCTCTCCTCCGTCCTTACATGCTAACATTACCTGAGGAGCGGTCCCCACAAATGGCACAGATGTGCTTTGACATCCCTCCCGGGCTCGTACATTGGTAGTTGATGTTTCCCAGATTCTGTAGGCCCGGCGGAGGCTTGATGTCCTCTGAGCTGCTAACACTGTTCATAGAGTTCATCTGCAGATGACAGGAAGAGAGAACAAAGAATTAAAGCTGAGGTGGCCAGAGCTGAACGGAACAGAGCAGAGGAGGAAGCAGAGGGGAAGTAAGAGTGAAAAGTTTGTGGTAGTCTCATGACACTCTCTCCCTTCCCCTATTTTCTCATTTTGTCTTCCGCTCACTCATAGTTTTTTGTTCCCCCACCCACACACTTTATTGTGAAAGTGTCTCGGTATGATCACATGCTCAGCCTGTAGGAGGGGCTGAGGCCTGTCATACAGGTTTTTTAATGTTTGCTGACAGGGAGAGTCGCAGGAAGCGGGAGTCACGTGGAGCAGGTGCAGTACTCAAACTCGGCAGCAGAGGGAACTCATGGTGAATTTTACGCTTTGTGATGACAGTTGGCATTTCTGTTAGACCTCTAATGAAGGCCAAATGTATTTTATCTGCCTTTTTTTATATCATAAGCAGTGCTTACAGCAGCGTTTAATCCCAAGTAGATGCACAATAACGCACACTTCAATTGGCATGATTTATATCTCTTACTGCAGCGTAGGGTTTCGCACCTGATCCCAAGGAACCCCACGAGATATACGAGTAACTCCCAAATATGGTGCATCAAGACTCCAAACCACAAAGTATGGCCAATTTAGAAATGATGTGTAATATAATATGTTTCCCCCCAAAAAAAGAGCAACAAGTTAAGCCTGCTTCTTTCTCTTCTTATCGTCCAGCCTGTCGATCCTCTCTCAGAGAGACACATGGAAAGCATATCTGCGTGATCTCCAGATTCCAACCAGAAAAAAAACAAGCCTGGCCTACATATACCTCGTACTATATGATGCAGCCTGATATACAGTATCGGACATCCTTCTGACAGATCCTATCACTTATTTACAAAGTGCACTCTCAATATTCTCCAATGGCAGTCTGAACTTAGGACTCTATATCCATGAATTTGCAGCAGAGACCATCACACAAGAGTGTTTCTTTTTGCCGTCATTCAGTTTAATCTCAGCATGCCGGCTGCCTGCAGGGAGACGGTCACACCCTAAATAAGCTTTTAGCAACAGCGCGCTCGCTTATTGGCGAGTCTGTAGTGAGCAGCTATTCAGCGTAACACACAGTTTTCATAATTAATTTTGCACGACCTTAAAAAATAAGTGTTTTTAAACTGTGGTTTAGACGACATGCAGCTTTACACAGACAACAGGATGCTGTAGAAAACGGCTACGAGCACTGCATATGGATTATTGATGCTTCATACATTTTTTATTCAACACATGGTATCAAGAAAATACTGCATGAGACATGCAAGGTTTACTGAGTGACGCATGTGTTTGTTTTTTAAATTTATATGTAAAGATTTCTGTAAAATGAAATTGATCTTTTTTTAGTAAGTTTTTGCTGATTGATGAATTCATTAAAATCGCTGATTATTTAACTGATCAGAAAATCAGTTATCAGCTACTCCAAAGCAAATGTGATGATGTGAAACAAAGTCAGTCACAATCATCCAAATAAATCAAATTTACACATAATTTCTCCTCTCGCCTGATTTCACCAGACTTTAAGCTGTAATCATGAATTTGCCTATGTTGCCCCATGTTGCTAACACTGTCATGTTCGTAATCTTCACTCCATGAAAAACATACATTACATGATAAAAAACCTGCCAGCAGCTTTGTTTTTGGCATGCAGCGAAAAAGCCAAAATCCCTATCATAACATCATCGCCTGCTATTCCCAACAGCACGGTCCTGAATCTAGCCTCGAAAGCACCACGTGCATCCAAACATCTTTGTTTCTGTTTGTATGGCTGACTGTCAAATCGCTGAGCTTAAAAAGTGCAACAGAGCTCCTGTGATGTAAAGAGCCTCGGTATTATTAGTATATGCCTAAATGAGCAGAAAAAAGTAAAACAAATAAATAGAAACATCCGCAAAGGAAGAAGGAGAAACCAGGAAAAATTAGGCTGCCCTTTCTCAGTCTTTCAAGAATCCATTAAGGGGCTAATAGTCATACTGTGTCTTATATGTCCACTTCCATGAGTGTAGTAATTCAGAACTCATGGATGACCTTTAGGGAGAAAAGTTTAAAGGTCAGCAGAAGGGTAAAAGAGTGAGAGTAAAGCCAAGGTATGCCTGCCAAACACATTGGATATGGCTAACCTTCAAAGTCCTGTCTGCTGGAGGAGATCCCAAGCAATACAGGCACATGACCACCGAAAAACATGTTATTTAATACATGTGCCAAGAGTAACAGTTCTAGCAAGTAGTATTTGCATTCTTCACTACCTTAAAACACACAAACTCTGCTTCAAAACACATTCTCTGGTATTTCCAAATGGGGTTCTGAGTGGTGCATATTTTTTTTTACTTTTACCTGCCTTAAGAGTTCGCTTTGACACGGGATGGTGAAAGAAGAACAAACATTTCAAATATAAATGCAAAAAAAATAATAATAATCCTGTCATGATAATTTCATGGATACATAAAAGCAACTTTATATTCGAGCCATTTAGGGAAATAACAATTCATTGTTATCTTCTATCTATCTGACATGTCTCACCTGTGGACTGCTGAGTGGTCCAAAGTTCATGTTGGGAGTAGACTGCAGCGATACAGAGGGCGAGCCCAGGGAAGATGTAATAACTGGATAGGGAGAGGCCAGGCCGTTCATTGGTGAGCCCAAGGTGGACATGGGGGACGGTAAGGGCCTGGAGGTGCTGATGACTGATGGGTGACCCACCATGCTGCCCATCAAAGGGGGGTGGGTGTGGGCTGTACTCATCGGCCCTGTAGAGTCTGGAAAGGAAGAAGGTGCATGTTGAAAAGAACAAGCAAATGCTTTGGATTTAGGAGTTAGGAATAAAGGAATTAGGAAAGTACACCTACACAAACAAATGCATCCATGCTACCACACATGCCTTCTTTGTGAAGTTGTACTTTGAGCAGACACTGCTTGTCATAGGCACTATCTAAAGCCACTTGAACAGCAGACTATTCAAAGGCGATTCTAATATTTATGTATATACACAGCGGCAGAATAACAGAAACATTATATAACCCAGTATCTCTGCCAACTTTGGTCCTAGGAAGGACCTATTAATCTGGGAATTTTGTGTATTACGAAAATCAAAATATCCACCCAAGGCCAGTTTTTAGCTGCATCCAAAATAAGCTGCTTGAATCTAAAATGCATGACTTTCGAGGTATTGGGTGACAGTGTAACAAGTTTGAAACCAATACCGACTTGTCTGACTTCATGGAGCTGAACTCGACACCACAGATTTGCTGAATCACACATACAATAGACAAAACTAATAAACAGAGGCGAATAAATTAAAATAAAATTAAACCACATCAAACCCTTGTTAGCTATCAAGTCTCCACCAACTTGGAGAAAAAAATAAATAAATCCGGCTCCGCTGTAGGCTACGTCCACACGTACTCGGGTATTTTTGAAAACGCAGATTTTTCTATGCGTTTGCACCTTTCGTTCACACGTAAACGGCGTTTTTGGTCACTGAAAACGGAGATTTCTAAAAACTCCAGCCAGGGTGGAGATTTTCTAAAACTCCGTTTCTGCATTTACGTGCAGCGTCAAAGATGTGCGCCTTTTTTGACGTCACACTGTGCGCCACGTTATTGTTTCGGTTAAATGAATTTCTACAATACTGTTATTGTTAATTGTACTCTCTGCAGTGTTTAAATGCTTACATATACACACACAGTTACTGTCCTTCCACACATACGACCCGGTTCTGCTTCTATGCCCCAACTTTGTTTACTTTTTCCCGCCGAGGCTTCTAGACTTCTGATTGGCCAACATTTCTACACGGTTAGGAATATAGCGCCACCTGCTGCTTTGGCATGTTCCTAGCAGCGTTTTCCTTCATTTCTGCCTTTACGTGTGGACGGGATTATTTTTTAAAACGAAAACAGAAAATCTCCGCTTTCAAAACTACCCGTGTACGTGTGGACGTAGCCATAGTTTGTCATTTGGTACTGAGCCGATGTGTTCAGTGTTTCTTTTCTGAAACAATAATTATAGAACGAAGAGTGACCTGAACAGTAAAGTTGTGGAGGATAAAACCAAACCGATGATCAGGATGTTGCTCTACAGTCAGAAGACGGAAATCAGTGGATTGTTCAAGAAGGACGTCTCCACATTACCATTAGTCATTTGATACATTTGTATAAAAATTAGCTTCAAGGTTCGAAACAGTTTAGAGGTTCCACATGAATGGATACACTAAATAATCACACTTTAAAACGTAAAGTCTAGCAACTGACAAAATGATGATGTTATCTAATTGGAATCCAGGTTTGGGTTATATATTGTTGGCCAGTGGTGCCATGTGTCCTTTTGGAGTGTAAATTTAGCGACACAGAGTGAAGCCCATCTGATTTTGGTCACAGGATGCTGACTTTGCTCAGCGGCCATTGATGTAAACTGACAGGCTGGCATTTACATAGATGACCTACTTAGAAAAGCTGTCAGTCAGCTGGGTAACAGGGCATGGTGTGTAATTTCATGCATGTGTTGTAGCTGCGAGTAATACAAATTCAGCAAATACCATCATATACATATGGTGTGTACGAGCAAGGGACCAAAACACATCTTTACACAAATGCCAAAGGCTATCATAATACAGACAGATGCAATAAGCAGCACCCCTCTGGGCTAATGGTGATGACTCAACAACGCGAACAAAACTGGGCTTTCTTGAGTAAAATGCTACTGATGAAGAGTGACAGACCACCATATGCACATAAACATTTGGATAAGCCTGCAGACGTTTTGGCTTTTTTGTCAGTGTATATCCCCTGCCTCCATTTACACACACAAACTCAGCGTGATACTGGGCTTTGCACCACTGTTCTTAGTTAAATGTCACATTCTTGTGTCCCGTGTGCGTCTATAAAGCTGGGTTGTGGCATGATTGCACAGACACGCAATGAACAGCACCTGTGTTTTGGGTTTCTTATAATCTTCAAAGGAATCAAAGCCGAACCGGGTGCCCGGAGAGAGCCCCAAGGGAGGGTTTGATGTCTTTTTGTCATGACTACTAATAACCTAGATCTCCAATGTAAAAAAAAAACCCACTTATTTAACTTAAAAGTTGAAAGTTTAAAAGATGATTATGGATTGTGCACTTTCCAACAGATGATAATGGAGTCTTTTATCACTTGAAAGTTCCTTTAGTAGAGATTCATGGTTGTAAACAAATCTGAGTTGCTAAAAATACTGTAAATAACAAGAAAATACTAGTGATCAATTAAAATCATGAGTCAAAAACAGCGTGACTACAGCATGACCCTTGAGATGCTGGAGATTACCCGGGCAGCAAGAGCTCCAAGAGCTTTATTGTGAAGTCTCATTTAACACACAGTTACCAATAAATTGCAGGTTCGAGCTTCTCAAAAGTGAAGAATTTGATGCTTCCCCCTTTCTTATGTGACAGTAAACTGATTATGTCCAAGGATTGCGGGACTGTTGACCAGACAGGACATCTAGAAAAATCTTGCAAGATTTAAAAGAAGGGACATTTTCACCATTTTAAGAATGATTTACCACAGAAAAGATTCTGACAACTAATCAACAGTACAAAAAAAAAAAAGGATCAGCTATGACCTAGACCTCGCTGCGACTAGTCTGTGTGATAATCTTAAATCTAAAGAGCCATCTCAGCTCCTCCTGTATGTCATAATTACACAAAATCGGAATTGTATGTACTTGTCAGCACTCTTTCAAAAGCATGTTCTTTTTCCTGGCTTTTAAATTTATTTTGTGCATTTTAGATTTCACCAAAAAGCCTAAAACAAGAGTTTTCCTGCTCCCACTGAATGAAAACATCTTATACATCTGGTTTGGTCTGTAATTATGATTTCTAATCTCTGCTTTTGAAGTTCGCATCATCTTATTTATTTTGAATTTCATTGCCGTCATCGCTTTTTCTGCAGGCCCCTTTGCTAACGTTGTCACTGTGACTTGAAATGGAACACACAAATATAAATTAAACTTGGTTTTCCTTATCTGATCTGATAAAAATGTGTCAAAATTGCTAAA